CCCCATGATAATCACCCCGACAAGCGAAGCCGATTAGTAAACGCAGACAAGGATTGAATCGAACAGGGCAAGGCTGACTAATCAACTCCCAAGGCCGTTTTAGTCAAAGTCAATTGTCGGGTCTGGGTGTTTTTTCCTCCCTTGAGGGTGGGTCGCAGGGTGGGTCGCGGGTGGGTCGCGTGGTGGGTCGCGGGTGTGTCACGGGATGGGTCGCGGATGGGTCGCGAGGTGGGTCGCGGGTGGGTCGCGGGGTGGGTCGCGGGTGGGTTGCGGGGTGGGTCGCGGGTGGGTCGCGGGTTGGGTCGCGGGGTGGGTCGCGGGGTGGGTCGCGGGTGGGACGACGACAACAAACAACAACAACGACAACAACAATAACAACACCACCACCACCACCAACAACAACAGCAACAACAACAACGCAACAGACATACTTTCCACCACGAATTCCTCACTCAGCCACGCACCCATGGAGAATGAATGACTGTGCGGCCCCCATCGCTTCGATTTTTATGTACCTTCAGAGTTATATGTATATGTATGCGTCTATGTGTATATCTGGAAATCTGTATATATGTAGGTGCATGTGTATGTGTGGGTGCATGTCTGATCTAGATGTCTATATATATAGACATATGGAGAATACTCTCAATACTCGTTACGGTCAACAAGCAACGGTGCCTCCACGAGCTCCAGGACCGCGAGACGCAGTAGCAGCACGCTGCTGCGCAGCGTGCAGCAGAGAGAACCCTTCGGTGACCTGTCGCGCCAGCCGCGCCTCCCGCGCCAGCCGCGACGCCCCCCCCCGCGCGCCGCTCGCCCCTGGGGGCGAGCGGCGCACAGGCCGTCGAGGGGGAGGGCGAGAGGCAAGGATGATGCTGCTGCTGATGATGATGCTGCTGCTGATGATGCTGATGATGAGGCTGCTGCTGCTGCTGCTGCTGATGATGATGATGGTGGTGGTGATGATGACGGCGCCGACGACGATGATGCTGATGATGATGCTGATGACGATGGTGGTGATGATGGTGGTGATGGGGAGAAGGAGGAGGAGGAAGAGGATGAGGAGGACGACGAGAAGGAGGAGGACGAGGAGGAGGAGGACGAGGATAAGGAGGAGGGTGGTTGAGCGGGTGGGCAAGAGGGGGATGACGAGGGAGGAGGAGGATGAGGAGGACGAGGAGGAGGATGAGGATGAGGATGAGGATGAGGAGGATGAGGAGGATGAGGAGGATGAGGATGAGGATGAGGAGGAGGAGGTTGAGGAGGAGGATGAGGATGAAGATGAGGATGATGATGATGATGATGATGATGACGACGATGATGATGATGACAATGCTGATGATGAGGATGATGTAGAGGATGAGGAGGAATAGTGAACGATGATCCGCCGGCCCCCTTGTGCGGCCACCAGTCTGTAGGGCCAGGGTTTGCTGTAACAACACAAGGGATTTGCCACATTTTTAAAATTCGGTGGCACCCCTCACGCAGATCGGCGGGGTCGGGGTAAAAAAACACAGAGGATTTGCTACATTTCCAAATTTCGGTGGCACCCCTCACGCAGATCGGCGGGGTCAGGGTCCAAAAACATAAAGGATGTGCAACATTTCTGAAATTCGGTGGCACTCCTCGTGCAGATCGGCGGGGCCACGGTAACAAAAACACAAAAGGATTTGCTACATTTTGGAAATCCAGTGGCACGCCTCACGCAGATCGGCGGGGTCAGGGTCCAAAAACATAAGGGAATTGCCACATCTTTGACACTCGGTGGCACCCCTCACGCAGATCGGCGGGGTCAGGGGTCAAACACAACAAGGATTTGCCACATGTCTGAAATTCGGTGGCATTCCTCATGCAGATCGGCGGGATCAGGGTCCAAAAACACAGAGGGTTTGCTACATTTTGGAAATGTAATGGCACGCCTCACGCAGATCGGCGGGTCAGGGTCCAACAACACAAGGGAATTGCCACATGCCTTGAATTTCGGTGGCCCCCCCCGTGCAGATCGGCGGGGCCACGGTCAAAAAACACAGAGGATTTGCTACATTTCTGAAATTCAATGGCACTCCTTGTGTAGATCGGCGGGGTCAGGGTCGAAAAACACATGGGATTTGCTGCATACCTTGAAATTCATGGGATTTGCAACGTGTCAATATTTCGTAGGAAATCAATCTTTTTGCGCAGCATACGCGAGCAACAACAATATCACCAGAATCTCAAGTTGTCTTGCCGATTACTCACCGTCTTTGCGTGAAGTCCCGACGCTGCTTCACGGCGGCGCCAAAGCCTCATGCTTTCGCTTTTGCATTGCCCATTATCCGAGAGAGGGGGCCGGCGACAGGGGGCGAAGCCCTTCCCTACGGATAGCGAACATGATGATGAGGAGGATGGGGAGGATGAGGAGGAGGACGAGCATGAGGAGACGGAGAACGACCACAGGAGGAGTGGAGGAAAGAGGAGGAGGATGAGGAGGAGGAAGAGGAGGAGGAGGATGACGAGCAGA